AGAAGTTGATAACAAACTGAAAACTTCTAAAATGTTCTAAATTACACTTTGAATACTTTTTGGAATCAGTTGAATTTTTCAAAACTCTATGAACAATTAATTTCAGTTTCTGCTGTCTACAAAAGTCCTTCTGTTTTGTGCATTTGTTGGCAAAAGCAGGCAACCCACCTCACTGTTTTAGGACTCTGTTAAGTTTGTCCTGGTTCTAAGAAAAACAAATTGAAGAATTTAGCCTAAGTCTGCCTTTTTTGTGCTTGATCTGTTCTGCTCTGTCAGGTGTAAATACCCCGGTTGTGACAAGTCTTTCACTACGACCTGCGGCATGGGCTCCCACTATCGCATTCATGACCGTGATGAGACCATCTTCCCATGCCTGGTGGAAGGTTGTAACAAGGTGTACAATAAGGCATGTCGTCTCAAACTACACATGCGATCTCACACGGGGGAGAGACCCTTCAAATGTACTGCCGAGGTGAGGCATGATCGCATTTCTCATTTGGTATTGTATTGCCTTGTATTGCCCGACATGCAGTTTTCATCATTTGTCGCCGTTACTTGCCTGAAGAGAGTGACGAGATCCAACAGGTCAAGTCTCCCCAAGGCCAATTAGCCTGGGAGTCTGTGGTTGCCAGTCACCACAAGATCCAACTATGGCATTGTCCAATGGGACTGGTTTCCAGTGTCTCAACATGGCCAGGTTCAATCAATCTCCCCCCTCCTTCTCCACAGGGATGCTCGTGGGCTTTCACCTGCATTCAGAAACTCAAGCGTCACATGGTTCAACACACTGGCGATCGGCAGTACGAGTGCAATCGGCCCGGTTGTCACAAACTCTTCACTCGGCTGGAACATCTCAAGACTCACATCAAAACTCACACCGGAGAGAAACCATTCACCTGCCCAGAGAAAGGTGAGTAGGACCAGTTTTGCATCGGGTGGAATTGAACTGAGGACATTTGGTTAGGATGATTTGGGAATTCATTGACTGACTGCCAGTTCATTGTTGTTGGTTAAGCTCAGTTTTATTGCTGTATGTAGCTGAAATTTGAAATGTTAACCCCTTCATGATGGGATTATTTTGACCGCAACTGCTGGGCTGTGGCATGCCCTGAATGGAGGGCTTTGTCCAGCAGCAGGCCCCATTGAAGTAGTTTGAAGTAGTTCTTGTAGTTCGATGTGATTTGGAGGAACAAACATTAAAGTGGTCAGTCAATTAATTTAGCTGATGTAAAATGGCTGTCAAGCCAGCCATCTGGAGAGGTAGTGAATAAAGTACAGGAATAAATTAATCTACAAAATACAACAAGCCTTCCACTGATCAAACTTGATTTTAACACATCTCTCGAATCTGTGTATATCTTTGCAGACTGCGATGCACGGTTTGCATCTCGCAGTAGCCTGTTCATGCACGTCAAGCGACACAAGCAAGGCTGCACAGCCAAGCAGAAGACAATCTTCAACTGCCCGATGGATGAATGCAACCAGTCATATACTACCAAAGATGGGTTGAAGAAGCATATCCTGACCGTGCATAGCATCATGCTACCCAGTGAGTATTCTCACACTCTGGCTCTTCTAGGTTCTGCTCTCGGCAATCACAGCAGATTTTTTTTTTCCGAGGCTGAGTAAAAAAAAAAAAAGTTGGAGGTTTTCTTCCTTGCTTGCATCTTTTTTCTTCATCTGCCTCATCTTTTTTAAGTGTATTTTTTTTTATTTGTAACATGTTTAGCTATAAATGCAAGTTAAAAACCTAGGTAGATATGATGACAATTCCTTCAGGAACAAATCACCATCTCTGATGAAATCTGCCATCTTTAAAGAGGAAAAATCCTGCTGTGGTCTCTTCCTCGTCCTTTTAAAAGGAAACAGACAAAAAAATTTCTCAAACTCCAGCGGAAGTATTTGTAAATTCCATATCTTTGTACACATAGAGCTTTAAAATCTTAGAAGGAACACTAGACGTCACTGTGTGGACCATCTGCACACGTAGTCAACTCCTTTTTAAGGTGTGATTGGTGCTTGTATATTATGGAGGGTGCATCACCAATTTTGATTTGACTTGGTAGAGTTTGCTCTACCTTTCAACGTGTGATTGATGCTTATATACTTTGAAGGGTGCATCAACAATTTTCAGTTGAATGAGCACAGATTTCTGTACCTGTTCAAGGCGTGATTGATACAGGCTGCATCGTCCAATTTTCATTTGAATGTGTACAGGTTTCTGGACCTGTTCAAGGTGTGACTGATGCAGACTGCATCATCCAATTTTCGGTTGAATTAGTACAAATTTCTGTACCTGTTCAAGGTGTGATTTATACGGCTTGCATCAGCCAATTTTCATCTGAATGAATACAGATTTCTTTACCTAATAAAGCTTTGCCACAGCAGACTCTAGGTGCACTCCCTGAAACTAATGCTGATATGAATTAGATTTATTCAGAAACTGTCACCATGCTGGGACTGATGAGTTTGATTGATCATGTTTGTCTTTGTGTTTTTTTGCCAGGTGCCAGCAACGAGTCAGAGTTGGTGTATATTCCAACTGAGAACCCTCAAGCCATGGTAGATGCCATGACAGATCCAGGCCTGTTGCAGAGTCCTACAGGTCAGACTAATACATGAGACTATTGAAGATGTGATTGCTTAGTTAGGCTTTCAACCAGTCGTTATATATGTTTTTCCAATTGTATGAAGGAAATCGTGTGAACCAGATAAACTTGTGACAGTAGTCAGAGTTTTGCAGACATTCATAGGTCAGCCATTCTCAAACAGATGTATTGTTCATATAAATGTTACTCTTCTCACATTTTAGGGGGTCACTTTCTTTTATTTGATAAGAATTGAAATTGGCCTATTTTTAATGTGAGTTTTCAAGTAGTGGTAAGTTTTTACATAGTGTTAGAAGATTAAGAATCTCTTTTTGAACACTTTAAAATATGCACATGCATTTGTCAAATGTTAGCAATTCTTCCTTTGAATTCCAGTGGTTCGAATAACCCAAGCCTCAGCCTCTGACTCCAGCCCAACCAATCAGCTCTCAGTAAATCCACTCAACAAAGATGGCACAACCTCTTCAGCCAATCAGAATCAGCCCGGCGGACTGGTACCCTACACCTCCGGTGCTGGTCTGATAGTGGACAGCAACGGGTCACCGGTGAGCTTTGTCAACTCTCCAACAACGCAGGCTTCATTGTCGTGGAGCTCCAGGGGTCTACACCACGAGAATTGGAGCGGGTCAGCACGGACAGACTTCATGTACATGCAAGGAGGAAAGAAGGGCAAACTCACAAGTAAACATTTACATTATTTACAGATTTCAAAACATGTCAGACTCTGATGAAATACCGTTACAATAGCCTGGTCTAACTTCATGCAGAAATTACTTGTTAAACTTGATGCTTTCCCATGGGATTAAAATGTAACGACTGAAGACAATTTCTCACAAGTTACAAAAGTTGTCCCAAATAACCTGCGGTCTTAAATTGGAGCAGTTTCTGAAATAATTCAAGCTGTATCTCATCGATCCATTCTGCCAATGAACTCTGACCTTTGTTTTTAACCCTGCATTAGGAAATTCTGAGAGTTGTGAATCCGAGACAGACGGTGCCCTCACGTCATCTTACATCCCCTCCAGTTTCAGCATGACGACCACAGCGTCATTGACACTGCGGGATCCAGCAACTGGGGCACGCTATGTTCAAACCCAACTGTTACAAGTAAGCTTGTGTGTATGTCAAAGTTGCTCAAAGTAATTAGACACATTCAATGCATGGAACAGTTTGGGATTCTCTGTTTCATCACAAGGGTTTTTTTTGGTTTTTTTTCATAAGTCAGGGCATACTGGAAATTTGAGATTGCAACCTTAGAGGTCATACGGTACAGGTCAGAATTTTAGCTGACACACTAACACGATCAGTGAACCTGACACGCTGTTCAATGCACACTTTGCGGTTTTTACCGTGCATTGCTGGTCCAATGCACGATAAGCCTGACCCCGGACCTCATTATCTCGGCAGGGCTTGTGACTGCAGACCGCAAAGGTGACCGACAATGTGACGCAGAGCCGTCACTCCGGCTTCATGTATGCACGTACATCATGTACGTGTACACTGTATGGCAGTGCTCTGAATAAGTGAAATTACATACATGTAGCGCCTGGCTTGCAAGATGACCATCTTGAAGTATCTAAATATGTGTCACTATCACAGCCGTTTTCTTTTTGTTTTGGATCGGGAAGGTTGTTCAGTCGGATTACATCTGGAGAATGTCAAATTTCAGTGAAACTGGCCAGTAGAGCAGTAGTTAACCGTGTGTGCTAAGTTACTACAAAATTTTGTCCC